TCAAGAATGTGCTTAACTTTAGTGTAGGGGTCTGTTAGGTTGAGTGTAAAATCAACCCTGGTGCATTGAGCTTGAGGAAGGGGTAATGTGACGTAGAATTACAGAGAAGCCCTAAGTGAAACACACTTGTAGAAATAAGGGCCCCTTGTGTGGAAGTGAAATATACATTTGTGTTGATATTTAGGTCAACAATGTGCTTATCTTCAGTGTAGAAGTGAAATTGAAAACCATGTCCAATTCACTGTAGGAAAAAGAATGTCAAAACACTTTGGAATGTCCTTAGTTTGAATGTTAGTTGAAACAGAAATCCTGAATCCCTGAACTTAGTCTTCTATTTTAATTGGTAGAGTTCAGAAAAAAATCAGGGTGTATCGCACTACCAAACTAGCCAACCTGTTCACTTGGTTCTCTGTTAGATACACTCCAATTTGCATGTCAATTGCTAATTCACCTTACAGAATTAATTGCATTGGGTGGAACCTCTTTATGACAAAGGCAACCTGATAACATAGTGAATGCTGACCCCTGACTCCAGTGAACTGAGCTGTTGGACGTGATTCCTAATACCTCCACCCTGCTAGTATCACCTGTAATACATATTCTTAGGACAAAACTCATTTTAATATCATCATTTAGGAATGTCGCACAACTCAACGATCTCGAAAATTAAAAATATCTAGAATCTATTTGAATATTGACGATGACACAAACGGGTTGGAGCAATGGGTGACCACCAGAGAAAAGTCAAACCACAAATCATATTATACAATGATAAACTGGCTACATTTATACAAATTTGTTTTGAAATAACAAAAATCTATTGGTTAAATTTGAAAATGAATATAATTGTTGGCACACCCACCCACACTGAGGTCAATGACCTGATCACAGTGAAACCTTGCAAAATGGTAGATGCCTATTACAGCAAAATGAAATCATTCTATGGACAAATCTGAAATATAGTGGCCACTTACCGGTACATGGATAGTAATGGTAGTAGGTTTATCTCTGATCATATTTTTTGTTGTACAGCATCCATTAATGAGAACAGTTTTTAACAAGATGCTTTTCATGATGCAGAAACAATGTGCGCAACAAGTCATCGTTAGAAAAATAGACGAAAACGATGTTTTCAATTATCTTACAAGTAATCATCTATATTAGACTAGTTTTAGAAAGAAACACACAACATGTGGATATGATAGATACACCATGGCAGTGTTATCACTATTGGTGAATACAGGGATCAACCAATCACATGATGACTTACAGTAAGATTTCTCGTTACTTTGTGACAAACAATTTATACGCTTTTCAAGGAATCTGAAATATTCACAATAATCACATAGGTCAATGCTTGCAAACATTGACAGATATTGGCTGCCAATTTGGTTAGTTGTTTGTCTTTCCTTGTTTCCTTTCGAACAAAATAGACATAACATAATTTCACATGGATCTTTTCACCACCAGACTTTCTCGCCCAAATTTTCTGCACTTTTTTCTTATATTCTTCAATATTTCAGGAAATGAACCCAAATTTTGGAGACAACAGACAAATTTTGAGTAAGTTTTTACTTTTTACTTAAAAAATGTGGCTATTTTTTTCTCAATCTTCTGAAGGAAAATGCAGACTATATAAACCGGACTATTTTGTGAATTTGTGATGAAAAGAGGGAACTGGTTTGAATGCAGGTATGTTTTGTGAAAGTTGACAAAAGTTGACATATGATTAATTATTGACACGTTAATCAGAGTATTCATCCTTTATTCACTACTAAATATCATCGAAGTTTGTTACTAAACACCATCATCACATCAAGAAATCAATTCAAAAGTTGGACAAAAATATGAGATAATATTTGCAAGTAATAATTTGGAAGACATAAACACAAAGGCACAGTTTAAGAAGATCTAGAACTAAAAATATAGATCAATTAAATTAAAATACATTTAAAAAAAAATCACCATTGTTAGTGTTTTCATAGTAGTGAAGATCTTTACACCACAGCTGTCGTGAATTGACCAATAGGCATTCTAGAATTGTCGTGGTCATATAAAATGGTTATGGCATAATACATGAGATCAAAGAACCAACAACTCAGAAATGACATAAATTCACTACTTTATTCGAAACGTCTTACACACCAACATTGGTCAAAAAACAATTTCCAATTCATGACAGCTGCGGTATAAGTTTGATAGAAATTTAATGTATCATTTGATGGTTATACAGCTGGGGAGAACATGGAAGACAGAATGGCATCTTCACTGATTAAAATATTAACAGCCACACCACAAGATTCCAACCTCTATTTCCTAATCTTAAGAGCTCTTATAATGTTTGAGTGTCCTTGCCGAGGGGTCACTGGTTTCACTCCAACTTGGCATCCAGATATATTTGATATGATTTTCAGCCTGGCCGTGAAAATGTTTTTCATACACGGATCTATAAAAATATCCTTCTTTCGTCTTGGGTGGATTGAATGGGTATTTCTTAGCGGCATCTTCTAATACCTCTTCATTAACCTGGATGAGAGAATCAAATTAACCAATAAATTTAATTGGTCATCATTCAAAGTTTGAAAATTGGCTGCAGGTCATGTGATACCAATAGGCCATATGATAGGCCATATGATAAAAATACAAAAACAACACAAAAAGCTGTAAATGGTTTAATTTTCAGTGTTTTTTAACTTTCATGGGACAAAAAATCATAAGTGATCTTTTCACTCTTCCTAGAACTTTGTGATTCATCTCTCACAGAATTAAAGCAATTTACAATTTACTAAATTGTGAAGTAATTCTGTCACCTTCATGCATCTTACAAGCAAGCAGTAGTGGAAGGCATAAACTAGGAAAACAAATGCTATGCGTTGACAAGATATGCAACTTTAAATCCAAAAACAAAAATTGATGAACGTCTGTAACCATCGGTATATAGCAAAAAACATTCAGATTTATCATATTCCAGGTATCCCATATTTCAGTCGTCTCAAAAAAATGTTCCCATCTTGAAAGAAGGCTAAACTCTGATGTCACAATCCCAAATTGCATACACTGCGGGTCTGATATCGAAAATTTTCACATGATACATAAATTATATCCTTACCTGAGTTTCAATATAATCTTGTAGAACTTCAAACCAAGAACGTTTCTCTGATGAAACGCCATCACTAAAAGCCTCTTTTGGTCTCCATAAAATATCATCTGGAAGCAAACCAAGGCCATCAAAAGCTGATCGCAGTATATATTTCTCAATACCCTTCGTTGGTTGTTTTAATTCAGATGGTAGGGAAAGGAAATATGAAGTGAAATGGTGGTCCAGGAAAGGAACACGCAACTCCAGACTAAAAATAGAACAGAAAAGAAATTATTGTATATCTTACCTGTGAAAGAATGTTTTATTTCGGTTAATTTGACGGTGAAATATAATAGAAAAACATTTTCCTGTAAGCATGATAAATTAGAAACAAATGAAGGTCAGACCTGCAGATCATCTAGCAACATTGAGTGATCTAATCTGACACCTGGAAATAATGTAGTGTATTTCAAAACCAAATACAATGGGGATGTTAATTATTCCCACATACGTACATGTAGGACTTGTAAAAATTAAATATGGTCAAGATTTTGGGGAAAAAGTTTGGACACAAATTACTTGGTCACAATAAAAAACACTATACCGTGCAACCTTCATTATCATTACAGGCAAGTTAAAAATAATATTATTCTTTCGATCCAGGGTATGTTGTTATCACATAACACTTATGTTTTCAACAAGTTAGAACACTACGATAAAGACTTTCCGTTTTCAATATTTTGAAATTCTTTCATTTTTATGCAAAAAATACAGTACTTTTACCAAGTAAAATCATATTTATCATATAAAGTTAGTTCACAAATGAGTTGTTGAACACACTACATACATAGTTTGTAATTTCATTCAGCTTATTTCAGTCATAATTCAATACAAATAAAAGGCATACCGTAAATATAGAGAATATAGCAAATTATCTTTTTTTCTGTAATATTCTTGTGTAACTGGTAATTATGAAAATTATTTACTAAGTAAATACATTTCGAATACATGAATTATTTTTAATATAAATTTTTGATTTATCTTGTCAAAATCATTTTTTTCAGAATTTTTTCTCCCCCAAAACGAAAGAATTTCACAATGTCAAAAACGGAAAGTCTTTAATGGAAGAGTTTTAGCTTGTTCTTTAAAGCAGGAGGGTCATCACATGCGCACGTGCGAGAATTGAGTCCCAAGGGACGATAACAACAGACGGTAAAAACGCAAAGGCTCATGGGTAGACGCTTGTTTGTGAACAATGACACGCTATGGCTATCTGACGCATGCGCAGGTGACTACTCCCCTGCTTTAATCATTACAAGTTTCTAAATACTGGTTTTACAAAGATGCCGACTTGATTTAACAACATACCCGTGCGCTGCAGTTGTCCTATCAGCTCGTAGTACATCAAACATGTAGAGATCTTTCAGAAGTCGATGGCTATCTACAGAAGCTTCCTCAGCTGATGGTGCTTTATGAAAATAGATATAACCCTGACATACTTCGTCAGCTCCTTCGCCAGAAAAGATGACAACACTGTCAGTCATTTTATTGATGTACTTTGATACTAAATACATTCCTGTATAAAGACGGAAAACAGAGTCAATAAATTTGTACGAGGATGCAATTGTCAGATCTATTTTCGGTGAAGATGGTTTTGGCAGAATTCCACCAATTCTAAAGCCCTTCTCAGTCAGTTTATTTCCAGAGGTAGCATTAGAATTGGAGAGTAGAGTACATATTTTACATAATGTCATTTTTAAAATTAAAACTACCTACATAAGGTAATTTAAAAACTTTATTTCAGAGGGTAAATAAGTAAAACACTACATATCTTTTATTGATCCTATGTTACCGAACAATATTATATTTTGGGACATTGAGATATATTCTTGCCATAGATAACAATAGTAAAATGTCCTAAACAGTATTTTATTTTATTGATTGATATTCTCTTCCTTCATCTTTGTAGGTAACATGACAATAAATGTAAAATGATAATAGTTTTACTTTTGTACCTTAAATTGAAAAGAATACTGTTATGTTTCAGATGGCTATAATCTTTAATTTTTTTGTTTTTATTGCTGAATTTTTGTTTTCATATTTCTTTTGTTTCCTTCTTGTGAGTTTGTTTTCATAATTCATTTGTTTTTATTGTTGGATCTTTGTTTCCATAATTCTTTTGTTTCTATTCCTGTAAGTTTTGTTTTCATAATTCATTTGTTTTTATTGTTGGATCTTTGTTTCCATAATTCTTTTGTTTCTATTCCTGTAAGTTTTGTTTTCATAATTCATTTGTTTTTATTGTTGGATCTTTGTTTCCATAATTCTTTTGTTTCTATTCTTGTAAGTTTTGTTTTCATAATTCATTTGTTTTTATTGTTGGATCTTTGTTTCCATAATTCTTTTGTTTCTATTCCTGTAAGTTTTGTTTTCATAATTCATTTGTTTTTATTGTTGGATCTTTGTTTCCATAATTCTTTTGTTTCTATTCCTGTAAGTTTTGTTTTCATAATTCATTTGTTTTATTGTTGGATCTTTGTTCCCATAATTCTTTTGTTTTTATTCCTGTGAGTTTTGTTTTTATAATTCATATTTTTTTATTGTTGGATCTTGTTTTCAATGATTCTTTTGTTTTGAAAATTTAGTTTTTGATAATTCCACTGCTTGCTTTTCCGTAATTATTTAGTTTTCATTACTTTTAAATAAATTTATTGTTTTAATAATGGATCATCAATTTCATAATTCCTTTAATTGTACATGCATTAGATAATATTTATTTTCATAATTCTTTTGTTTTTATGTTTGTGATTCCTATGTTTTTATTTCTGAATTTGTGTTTTCACATTTTTTCTGTTTTTAACTGATGATTTTCACTTTCATTTGTTTTACAACAAGTCTCAGAAGTATTGGGTCAGCAATTTGCAAACTCTCCAGTGAATTGGCTAACTGCTTTGGTTTTGATGGCTTAACACAGCACATCACCTTTGAAATGGGGAATTTAGAAAACATTCTATGTCCCCTACTACAATATAGACTCGCCAAGAGTGGGCATGATCACAAGTCGACACCAACAAGATTCGAAAGCCAACTGTTTAGGCAAAACCAAAGCAGTTAACCAATTCGCCAATGAGTTTGCAAATTGGCTGCCCAGTACTTCTGAGACTTGCTGTGATTTCTGAAATGTATTTATAATTTTTTTGTGAAAACTATATTTTATAATTCTTTTGTTTTTATAAGACTGAAATTCACTTTCATAATTTTTTGTTTTCATAATTTCTTTGATTTCATTAGAAGATAATTATTTTTGTCACAGATAGCTGACTTACCCACAGAAGCTCTAATTGTAGTAATATCATAGGTTTCCAAAGAATAGATAACATCTTCTAATACTTCAATTCCCTCTTCTGCTGTGAATACTACTTCATGGTGTTCAGTACCTAGGTAATTTGCCACCTTCATAAGAATAATAATGTTTCTGTGAAATGTACATATACAACTAGTGTCACAGGCTCTAGTTTCTGGTTTCATAACCTTTTCATCACCAATTCACAAAATAGTCCAGTTTATAGTCTGCACTTTTCTTCAAAAGATTGGGATAAAAATAGTCAAATTTTAAACAAGCAGCCTCTTTGCTGAGATATCATTAGAAAATGAACATCTGTAGTATCTTTATGTTTAATATCAAATCAATCAGATTTGCTGTTTTTAAGTCAAAAATATCAATTTTTCCCAAAATATTTATCAAAATTAGAGAATTGAAGATATCATCACAAAATTAACAAATCTGAGACAGGTCCATCTGAGGTACCTATATGTATAATATCAAAGCAATTGGACTTGTGGTTTTTTAACAAGAACTCAAAAATATCACTCTTTAACAAAAATAACAAAAATATTAGAGAATTAAAGATATCATTATGAAATGAACAAAACTAAGTAAGGTCTACCCAAGGTACATATACATCAAGTATCAAAGCAATCAGGCTTGTAGTTTTCAGGAAGAGGTCGAAAAAGTTGATGCGGAAGACAGATTCATACAAAGTCGACTGCAGAGCTAAAAAACATGAAAATTAACTCAAATTTTGTTTGTTGGCTCTAAAATTAGGGTTTAAATCTGAAAATATTGAAGAATATAAAAAAAACGCAGACAAATTTGGGTGAGATAGTATGATGAAAAGGTTTAAGCAAATAACATCAACCAATAATTTTTTGCAGATTTACAAATATTTCATAATAATTTCTCAATACAATGTTAAGTGAAAACATAGGTTAAATTTGTGAACTGTTAAATCAGTTCCACCTACTACATTTGTATATCTAATATCTTCATTGTCTAAATAATTCTAAAATCACAATTTTAAATTAAACATTTTTTTTTATTGTGTACCTTCCTTGCTGCTTTAAGATCAGGACTTCCTTCCATACCAATTGAAAATGTCTGCACTGGGTAAGTGATTCCTTGTTCTTTTGCAGTCTTTATCAGTAATGAACAAATCAGACTGGAATCCAGACCACCTACAAGTACAGAAATAATAGGAATCATGTATATGTCCTCGTAGGTAATGCTAGGAATGGAATGGGTTGATGTTAAAGATTAGGAGTTAGGAGTTGATACATATGGTTAAAATGGGACGCT